GGGGGAGGGGGAAAGGGGGAGGGGAGGTGGAGGGAGCTCTATATATGTAATATAAATTGTAATGCATTATTCTATCATATGTAACAAATTAGAATAAAAAAATTTAAAAAAGAACCCAGAAACTGGGTGTCTGAACCCACCATCTCCTGCCAATGTTTTCAAAGTATCTTCCTTACTCTATTTTTTTTCTTCCTTACTTTAAAAATATTTATGTATTTATGAAATAAGTGTACATCAATACATTGGCACATTATGAAATATTTAAAAATAGAAATTCAAGCTGGGCACTGTGGAGCACAGCCTGTAATCCCAGCAATTCAGGAGACTAAGGCAGGAGAATCCTAAATTTAGAACCTGTCTCAAAACTAAAAAGGCTGGCAATGCCATTTAGTGGTAAAGCACCCATGGTTCAATTCCAGTACCAAAAATAGATATTCAAAAGGATGGGATAAAAATAAAATAATTTAAATAACAGCTTTAAAAAAACTCATAAAATTATTAATTATAATATTTTCAAGTGACAGCAATGTAACTATGCTTAATTATTTTTGAAAAGTATACTTTAGGGGCTGAGGTTGTGGCTCAGTGGTAAAGCATGTGAGGCCCTGGGTTTGATCCTCAGCACCATATAAAAATAAGTAAATAAAATAAAGGTATTGAATCCAACTACAACTTTATTTATATATATATATATATATTTTTTTTTTTTTTTTTTTTAAGAAGAGTATGCTTTAGTTGAGTGTGGTGGCACAGGCCTGTAATTCATGCTACTTGGGAAGCAGAGGCAGGAATATGGCAAGTCCCAGGGCCAGACCAGGCAACTTAGTGAGATCTTGTCCCAAAATAAAATAAGAAAGGCTGGGGATGTATAGTAGTACAATAGTAGTGTACTTGCCTAGCATAGGCCAGGTCCAGGGTTCAATTCCCAGCACTAGAAGGAAAAAGGAGAGAGAGAAAGTTATGCTTTAACAATTTGTGATACTGGGGCTGAGGATATAACTCAGTTGGTAGAATGCTTGCCTTGCATGCTCAAGGCCCTGGGTTGGATCCTCAGCACCAAAAAACAAAACAAACAAACAATTTGTGATACAGGTATTTGACAATGGTTCTGAGTTCATTTTGATCCTTGGTTTTAAGGGTAGTTAGAACTGAAAGAGATTCACTCACACACACTCACACACACACACACAATATATATTCACGTGGAAATGCATCATTAATGTACTCACTTGATTGTGTCTTTTTTTTTTAAGAGAGTGAGAGGAGGGGAGAGAGAGAGAGAGAATTTTTTTTAATATTAATTTTTTAGTTATCGGTGGACACAACATCTTTGTTTTGTATGTGGTGCTGAAGATCGAACCCGGGCCGCACGCATGCCAGGCGAGCGCGCTACCACTTGAGCCACATCCCCAGCCTCCAGATTGTGTCTTATCCAGGAAAATTCTATCACTAAATTTATATAAAAGTTTTTTTCCCCTTAAGTACCACTTTGCCATTCTCCCTTAAACAAACTAATGAGAAGCTATTGTCCCAAGCCTGGTACAATGCAGATTTTTAGTCAACCATTATTCCAGATGTTTCTGTAAGGGTATTTTGGATGAGTTTTATATTTAAGTCAGTGGATTTTGAGTAAAACAGATTGCTTTCCATAATTGTGGCTGGGCCTTACCCAGTCAGTTGAAGACTTTAAGAGAAAAAGGCCACTGAGGAAGAGGAAATTTTGCCTCCACAGTGACTTCAGACTTGAGCTGCAACATCAGATTTTTGTCACCAGCCTGTCTCCCCTGCAGATTTTGAATTTTCCCCCACCTCCACTGCATGAAACAATTCTCACTTGTTCCTAGAACTGCATGAGGCAGTTCCTTCATCCTAACTTTTTTTTTCCCCTCTAGTTTTTTTTTCTCTGGTGCTAACTAATACAGCAGTTATAGGAACTAAGAATACAATGAGTAACAAGAAAGAAAAGTTGCCATTTCTGTGGGATTTGTTGGTAAGCTGAAAGTGAGTCCATAATCATGTGATGTCCCTTGATCCTGGAGGCAAAGTAGCAGAAAAAGCTCACCTTGCTAGCAAGTGAGAGGTGGGGAGTGAGGTGGATTCTCCCAGAGGAAGTGACATTTCCGCAAAGACCTGAAGAGGGCAAGACCAAAGGTAGCCAGTAGAGATTCCAGATGAGGGACAATAAAGGATCCAAAGTTTGGGGAACAGAAGCCAGACCCAGGAGCTGGGAGAAGTAAGGCTAAAGACTGTCTGTTGCCCACTTTTTCTATAAATAAGCTGAACTATAAGAAAGAAAGTGGCCTACAGTGAGGGAAAAATGGTCTAGGGAAACACTTGCAAGACCAGCACTGGTGCCTAAACCAGAAGTGGGGGGAGGGGCCTGTGGCTCTGCGGTTGAACTGTTGTGGCACTATAGCAGGGACCTGGAGGAGAAGTCTATTTCAGGCATTGTCATTCCCCGCCCTCAGGGTTATTTTTAAACCTCCTGGTACTCCAGATCCTTCTTTCCAAGCCCTGATCAAGAATTTCTTCATAAAAACTTTTTATTGAGATCTTGCACTTAACATTTCTTTGTTAATTCTTTGAATTCTCTCTGAGTATAGAATGTAGAATTTGAATGCACTTGTGCTGGTGGGTTCTTCTGCACCATTATTTCCATTGTTTTATGCTATATGTCCTGTTTCTTCTATTACACACACACACACACACACACACACACACACACACACACACACACACTCATCCCTCACATACTGTGAGCTAGATCCTCAACCAATACCAAAGCTTACCTGAATCCGTGATCTCTGCCTCAGGAACGCACTCTCTGGAGTATTTCTACTCAGCTGTGTCTGAATCACGCCCAGGCGTCCCCACGTTTACTGCCTCTGGCTTCGTGGACAACCAACTCTTTATTCACTTTGACAACGAGGGGATGAAGGCAGATCCTTGTGTTGACTGGTTGAAGGAAAAGCCAGAATACTTTGATGATGAGACTAAGATCTTCAAGACTCGGATGAAGATTTTTCAGTTAAGTCTGAGAAATGTGCAACAGTACTACAACAGTAGCATGAATGGGAGTCAGAGCAAAGAGCTCCCAAGAGAGCTGTCAGGTATGTGCCCAGGAGAAAGCAGGGCAAGCAGCCTCACCCCACCCCCACAGGCCGGAGGCCCACAGCAAGTATTTTGACAAGTTCTCACTTGAGAATAAAAGCTAGCCCAGTTTGGTCCCCGGGGACAAGGTCTATGGACATTCTTAGTTCAATATTCAGCAGACTCACTGGCTTGCAGATATATACCTAGCATTTATCTTTCAGTGCTGGAGGGGGACAACCAGAAAACATGACCAAGTGTTTGTCCTCAAAGCACTTACAATTACCATGGGGAGGCACTCATAGGGCTGGAAACATGTTACTGACACTATAAGGCATCCCAAAAGATGTCAAAAGCCAGTAGCTCCTTAAATGCCAAATGAGAAGCAGAAAAATAGTTTAATGAAGTAGACAGACAAGACATCCAGTGGTCAGGGAGAGTTTCATGAATGAGATGGAACTTTGGATAGAACCTATGGAATGTGTATGGTTTGGGCTAGGAAGATAAATACATTTCATGCAGCCAGAAGTTAGGGCACAGCCAAGGGTGGGCTGGGATTGGGGAATCCCAAGGGTGGGCTGGGATTGGGCAGAGTGCATTCAGGGAACAGAATGTAGCTTACTGGTCTCTAGTGTCTCCTGACTGCTTGAGATTATTGAAATAAGTTTGTAAAGGGCCTTTAAATCAGTGAGAGGTATAATGAAAGCTGAAGACTGAAGCTTTTTACCAGTTGATACTGGTAGGAGAATGTGTTCCACAGGGTTTGCCAGATCACTGGGACAGATACCAGTGTAGTCACAACCTCCAAAGGGCTCATGACATGGAAGGGGAGAGACAAAGCACAAAGTTTGGTATACTTTGTGAGTGTTGGTTTAGAAGCTTGATCCTGTGGACTGTGGACCCCAAGGGAGGGCACAATTAATCCAAGCTGGGGCAGTCTCAGAGTTATTTATATTTGACTTTGAAATTTATTATGTTTTCAGCAGAAGTTGGTGCTTGTTAATGCTAAGTTTGCCTTCTCTGGAACCTCAAGGAATTAATACTGAGCACAGAGGTGTATCCTCTGACATTAACGCTGTGTACAGTGATCCTGTTTTCAGAAAGCTGGAAATGATATGATTGGAATCTGATATGATTGGAATCTGGTACAATTAACACAGAAGGAAATCTATGTGGTCATGCTCTAACCTTTCCATGTACAAAAGATAGAGAGCTATGGAGGTTGAATAATTTGTCCAATTGACAAATTCATGGCAATGACATATCTTTTTCAAGATATCCTGGAACCCAGCATAGACCACTCACTGCTGCAGAGCTAATGGCAAATAAAAGAGACCAGTATCAGGGACCAAACTAAGTTGTCCAAAGTGTGAACTTCACATAAGGAGAAGCCAAGGGATCCGTTGTGGAGGGAGCAGGGACCATGATGGGATACATCTGCCCTTACTTACATGCCTGTCTGGGGGATGGGTAGGCCTGCACACCCTTCAGTTCACCTATGGCTGCGAGCTGCAGGAAAACAACAGCGTCTGGGGGCATTGGCAGTATGGCTATGATGGCAGTGACTACCTGATCTTGGATTTGGACACTCTTCAATACATTGCAGTCTCTTCAATTGCTCGACACACCAAGCAGAAGTGGGAGGACAATAGATATTTGGTAGAAAAAGACAAGAGCTATTTGGAAAAGGAATGCATCTTGTGGCTGCGCAGATATTTGAAGCTTGGAGGGAAGAGCTTGAACCGAACTGGTAATGACCTCCCTCAGCCCACCCATTCGTTTTTTTCTTCAGAGTTGATGGAAAGCTCCCCAGGACTACCTGGGCATAGGGATATAGGCTCTCTTGTGTAGGTGAGGAGGGCCACTGTACTGAAGGGAGCTTCCACACAGCAGGAGCTATGGATTTGAGCAAGTCTCCTGGAAAATGCTGTCTGCCCCTTTTCTAAGTCCTCCCTGGGGCAAAACTGCTCTCATGACCTCTGAGCATGTTCCTAGGCTGGGGGTAGGGGGGCAGGGGTTACACTTTTGCCCCTTTTCCACTAGAGATATGGCATCTCTGAGCACCTATCAACATTTATCTGGAAACACTGACCAGTGGCTTGATGAGAAGATGGAGAGTCTTGACATGGCTCTTGCTCTAAAAAAGAATGTTGGGACTGAGCTCTTAGGACAGTTCCTTGGATCCCAGTTTAGCATAGTACTTAGCCCACACCTGCCTAGCTGACACCTCCTGCCTTGCCCTGGTTGGTAGCCAAACCATCATGAGTTGCATTTTCTTTATTATTAGAGTAGCTACTACAATAAGTCTTTGCATGGGTCCTCCCTGCTTTATCCACAGAGCCTCCCTCTACACGTGTGACCTACCATCCCTTCCCTGACCAAAATGAAGTCACCTTGAGGTGCTGGGCCATGGGCTTCTACCCTGCTGAGATCTCCCTGACCTGGCAGCGGGATGAGGAAGATCAGAGTCAGGACATGGAGGTAGTGGAGACCAGGCCTGCAGGGGATGGAAACTTCCAGAAATGGGCAGCCGTGGTGGTGCCTGCTGGAGAGGAGCAGAGATACACCTGCCATGTGCATCATGAGGGGCTGCCTGAGCCCCTCACCCTGAGATTTGGTAAGGAGGAGTTGAAGGAACAGGACTTGTTTATTGGGGAAAGCAGGGGGCATTCCAGAAACCTTCAGCCAAGTCAGGGCTGAAAACTGGTGGTAAGAGTTGCTCACCTTCTCTTCTCAGATCCACTTTCTCAGGCCAACGAACACACCAGTGAGAAATCTAAAGCTGTAGTCACGGTAACTTTGATTGCTATACCTCTGCTCATCGTGGGAATTGTGTACTGGAGAAGACGTCAAGTGATGACAAGGTCAGGCTTTCCACATACTGGTGTCCTAACAGTGCCTCACCCAAAGGGTTGAGGTTAATGTGGTAACATCCTGTGGTGTAGCAGAGCCTGGGAGGGACCTCGCTGGAGGGAGCACAGGCTGAGAAGCTGCTGGTGAAGAGAGATGCTAGAGACTCTTGCAGGCCCTGAGACTGTGCCCCAGTTCAGAGGCTGTCCAAGTCCCATGGCTGCCTCTGAACTCCACAGTCTTGATCTGATGGACCTCCTGCTTCTCTAGGAGGGTTCTAGGAGCAGAAGGCCCAGAAAGTCCCACAGTGCATGGGAAGTGAGTCTACTTCACATGGGACAAAATTTCTCTGGTCCTTCTCCCTCAGGTGCCTAAGTTTCCTAAAGAAGATTGAGTGAGAGTAGATCAGACCCCAAGGCTGAGTTGGCAGATCCGAAGGGTGTATGTAATGGGCTTGTCTGTGTACATGCATATGCATGAATATTAATAAGCAACTGTATGTATGTGGATTTGTGTGAATGCGTGTATAAGCATGTATGGTTTTTTGTGCACATTTATGGACATACGTGTGTTTGTGTGTATGTGTGTGTGTTACTTTAGGACTTCCTCATATTGGTTGTTCCACCAGGTTTAAAAACAAAAAAAAACTGTTCTCCATTTTCAAGGCACCAGGATAAATGTTGGAGAGAAGAGATTCTTTGCTGTACTTAGAATAATTATGGCTCTGCTTTAATAAAACACATAATAAGGGGCAGAGGGAATAGAATTGGATTAGACAAAAGGGATGAAGGGAAGGGAAGGGAGATGGGAATAGAAAAGACAGAATAAATCGTATATGCAGCTCAATTCACAATAGCCAAGCTATGGAACCAAGCCAGGTGCCCTCAACAAAGGAATGGATAAAGAAAATGTGGGAGTTTCCTGGTGTGCTTCAAGCCTGCCAAATGGGAGGGGGAGACACAGATACGGCAGCCCCAAACTCCAGCTCCAGCCGCCCACTGTTCAGTTGCCCAACCTGGGCAGGTAAACCCCCACCTGGTTTACATCTGGATGTAGTCAAAGGAGACAAATTAATTGAGAAACTCATTATTGGTGAGAAAAAATATTACTTATTTGGGAGAAAACTTGATTTGTGTGACTTTACCATTGACCACCAGTCTTGCTCTCAGGTTCATGCTGCATCAGTCTACCATAAGAATCTGAAGAGAGTTTTCATGGATATCAATGTGTGGGAAGCCATTCTGACACGTGATTGGGTGGCTCCCGTTAAGGGCCTGAGGCGCTTTGGCTGTGTCGAAGCTTTCCCTTTCCTGATGAGAGAGCCCATCCGTGTGGGGGTGTGCCTGACCACTGACCCCGGGGACCCAATCACTGACCCTGACCTTGGAGTGCAGTCCCCCCTCAGCCTTCTTTGGATGGAATTCTCCCCTGAATCTCTTGTTCCCCAATAAAAGGCTACTCCAGGCGTGTTCACTCTCTCTCCTGCTAGCCCTGAGTAATCCTTGCTGCCCTGCTGGGCGGTTAGAGGAGTGAACCAGAGAGGGGAGCCGTCTCGGACCTAGCAATAGAAATAAGGTAACTGAGTCTGTGTGTTTTATTTCGATCTCTTCTAACTAACTTTATGCCTAGAACCTCATTAATGAAACCATTGCGCAGGCCGCGTGGTAGATCAATGCAGAATGGGACAACAATGACTGAGATTGAGGGTCTCTAATGACTTCATGACTGTGGCATATCTGATGCCTGGGAAAGTTTCTATGCAAGGCATAGGATGCTTAGCTGCTATGGTAACACCTTGCTTGAGGAGGCTCTGTGCAAGAGTCTTATCAGCTCTGGGCTGGGGATGTGGCTCAAGCGGTAGTGCACTGGCCTGGTATGCGTGTGGCCCGGGGTTTGACCCTCAGCACCACATACAAACAAAGATGTTGACCCACTTGAATCTAATGTATGAAATATGATATGTCAAGGGGCTGAGGATGTGGCTCAAGCAGTAGCTCACTCACCTTGCATGAGTGTGGCCGGGGTTCGATCCTCAGCACCACATACAAACAACGATGTTATGTCCACCGATTACTAATCTCTCCCTCTATCACTCTCTCTAAAAAAAAAATGTCAAGAGCTTTGTAATGTTTTGAACAACCAATAATAAAAAAAAAAAAGATGTTGTGTCCACGGAGAACTAAAAAATTTTTAAAAATTTAAAAAAAAATTTAAAAAATATTTAAAAAAATATTTTAAAAAATTCTCTCTCTCTCTCTCTCTCTCTCTCTCTCTCTCTCTCTCCCCCTCTCTCTCTCCCTCTCCCCCTCCCTCTCTCTCCCTCTCTCTCTCCTTAAAAAAAAAAAAAAAAGAGAGTCTTATCAGCTTTGCAAGTTTGACCACACAGGATGTAGCAGTTAACAGTACACATGCCGAGGGGTAGGGGTAGGGGGGCTCTGGGGTTGTGGCTCTGCAGTAGAGTTCTCTCCTCCCAAGTGCAAGGTCCTGGGTTCATTTATTTATTTATAAGTAAGTAAAATAAAGGTTTTGTGTCCAACTACCACTAAAAAAAAAAAAATATTAAAAAATAAAAATAAAAAACAGTACACATGGCATTTTCTTAGGTCACACTCAGTTGTAACTCACAAGCCACAACAAATTCCACGGTCTCATTTGGCACTTTCACAAAGGCACACACTGCACAAGAAACCTCAGACGTTGCCATCAGCTGTGAAAGGAGAGGAAAAGATGAATGAAGATTATGAACTCAAGGACCCATTGGGACTTCCAGAGAAAGAGACTGAGCTTGATAACCTGACAGAGCTCAACACTGTCCACAAGAAGTGGATTTCTATCCTCACATTAAGGAAGGAAATATGGACATTCAGAGACCAGAGCAGAAAAGGAAGAACTCATGGGTGACTTTCAGTGAGATGATAAGATCATCAACTCAGATGATGTGGATCCCTCAGTTGAGCAATTCCGGAACATGGTGCAAATTGCAGTAGTCCCAGTGAAGAAAAAGTGAGTGGAGGGCCCTGGATCCCTGGCCTGGAGGAATGAGGGAGCAGGCACATGCAGAATTTTGCCTTTAGTGGGGGATTCTATGGGGGATTTCCCCCAACACAGTGAAGCAGGCTCCCAGCCGCATGGCATTCACGGGACAGCACTTGTGGGTGGCTTGCCCATGCCATACCCAAACCTTGCTCCTGATGTGGACTTGACTCCCATCGTGCCATCAGCAGTGAAAATGAACCACGCACCAACTCCTGCAGTCTATAACCCTGAAGCTGTTCATGAGCCAAAGAAGAAAAAATATGCAGAGGGACTTGGCTGAGCAAGAAGCCCACACCTTTCTTTCTTATGCAGAGAAAGTTTTCATAGTCATTTTAAATAAACTGCCTTGGCTCTTTGCCTGGCCTTTTATTGCCTCCTTCCTCCTTCTCCTTTCTAAGATCATTTTTCATGTGAGGTCACATACCCCAGGTTGAATCCAGAGTTGTGGAGGTAGCAGTAGCCTCACCAGTCTCAGGGTCCCCACAGTTTCATTTATATTCACTGTCTTTGCAAGTCCCAGGTAGCAAAAGGGTTGCCATGAATCCCAGTGTTATCAAAAATGTTTAGCATTCTTTCATTAAGCTAAGATTTAAACTTAGAAGTGTTTCATCAGGTCTTAAGTTTTGAGATCCAATTTGTCAAAAAAAGAAAAGAAAATGGGGTATGTATACACAATGGAATATTACTCAGCTCTAAAGAAGAATGAGATTTTGGCATTTGCCAGTAAATAGATGGAACTGGAGCCTATCATGCTAAGTGAAATAAGCCAGTCTCCCCAAACCAAAGGTTGAATGTTCTCTCTGACATGTGGATGCTAACACACAACAAGGGAGGGTAGGAAGAGGAAGTGCAGAAGTTCATTGGGTTAGACAAAGAGGAATGAAGGAAAGAGAAGGGATGGGAATAGGAAAGGCAGTGGAGTGAATTGGACATAATTTTTCTATGCTCACATATGAATACACACCCAGTGTAACACCACATCTTGAACAATCACAAAAATTATATTCAGCTTTATATATTATACATACCCCATGTATGTATAATATATCAAAATACATTCTCTATCACGTATAACTAAAAAAGAACAAATAAAAAAATTAAATGTTATATGCTTTAAATTTTCATATGCTCTAAAAGATTTGCATGAATTAATCAATTGAACTTCATAAGAGCCCTTTGGGACTGAGAGCTATCAATCCCATTTTACAAATAAGGAAACAATCCACTGAAGTTGACTCTCAGGGAACCAGGACTCTAGGGAAACTCTAGCCCAAATACCACCCTGTTATGTTGATTCCTGTACCTGTCCACCTGCCCTATTCCAAGTCACCTCTTGCTGTGGCTCTGCCCAATTTCCCTTTCCCTACCAGATACCAATACCAGATGGAATCTATTGCATTTCTCACCATTCTTACAGTTGGTTGTCTAGTGTGAAATGACACATAAGCTGATGGAATGTGCTTGCTGGAAGAGGTGACATTGGCACTGACATCGGAATCAATGGCATTTACGTCAGGATGTGTGAGGCGGACTGTCGGATCCATGTGAAGCTGGGCTTTGGGGCTGTGAAATAAAGAAGTGATGACTCATCTACTTGGCCACTACTGGTCTTTCTCCTTCAACATTGCCCCTTCCAATCCCTGCTGCACTCTAGGATGGACCGGAAGGAGCAGCCTAACCACACCCTTGCCCACCTGCATGGCTTAAATCAGAGTGTCAGCGACAGCTGGGGTCTTACCCAATGGATGAAATGTAAGAGGATCCATTTCTAAGCTCAGGTGATTGTTGGTAGAATTCAGTTCTTATGCATTGTTAGGCTCACAGCCTCACTTAGTTGTTGGCTGGTGACCAGACATGGAACTCAGTTCATTGCCATTTGGACACAGAACTCAGTGCCATGTGGACCTTTCCATTTCAGCAGAGCTTGCAAGCAGAGAAGGCAGAAAACAACATCAGTACCAGGAGTGGTGATGCATGTCAGTAGTCCCAGCTACCTAGGAGGCTGAGGCAGGAGGATTGCAAGTTTGAGGCCAGCCTGGGCAATTTAGCCAGATCCTGTCTCAAAACAAAACAAAACAAACAAACAAACAAAAACAGAAAGAAAAAAGAGCTGGGGATGATGCTTAGTGATAGAGTGCTTAACTAGCATATGCAAGGATCTGGGTGGGGAGGGGGGGAAGCATCACCTGGCAAGACAGAAGTCACAACTTCACATGATCATGACACTTTTGCCATAATTCTATTGCTTAAAAGCAAGTCATTGGTCCCACACACTCCCAACATGAGGAGATTTCACAAGGGCATGAAAACCAGGAGGAAGTTCACTGGGCAGCATCTTACAGTTTGTTTGCATCAGGAGGTTCTTGGTGAGAGACAACAGGAACAGGAGGTAGTGAGTCTCGGGACAGGTTTGCTCACTTTAGTCCCACAATAGATTCTGAAATGTAATCCCAGTGATTCAGGAGGTTGAGGAGGAGGATCACAAGTTCAAGACCAAACTTAACAACTTATTAGCGAGACCCTCAGCAACTTGGAGACCTTATCTTAAAATAAAAAGGGCGGGGGATGTGGCTCAGTTGTAAAGCATCCCTGGGTTCAAACCCCAGTATCAAAATCATACACAATGGCCCTGTAACTCAGTGGCAGCCTCTGCTGGGTGTGGTCTGAGAGCAGTGTAAGATATTTGGCTCATTTTATTTTTGTATCTGAGAAACACAGGTGGAATACAAATAGACAAAAATTTCCAACCTTGTGGAATATATATTTTATTGGGTAGAAACAAGACTTTATACTACAAACTTAGTGTATTCGTTCCTTTTGCTAATATAGAAACATCACCACAAGTTTAGTAGCTTAAGCACACACACACACACACACACACACACACACACACACACACACACATGCAAATTTATTCTCTTACAGCTAGCCCTAGAGGTCAGAAGTTTAAAAGCGTCCATAGGCTTCCTTAGTGCATTGATACCAGAGATTCTGGAAGAGAATCCCTTTTCCTTGTCATTTCCGGCTTCTGGAGCCTGCCCACATTCCTTGGCTGGAGATCCCTTCCTCCATCTTCAAAACCAGCAGCACAGAATCTTTTCTCCCCTCTGAACCTCTACTTCCAACTTTTCCTCTTTTTTTTTTTTTTTGAAACTTTGACTTGCCTGCCTCCTCCTTTTTAATTTATTTTTTAAGTTTTAGGTGGACATAATATCTTTATTTTATATTTATGTGGTGCTGACGATCGAACCCAGTGCCTCATGCATACTAGGCGAGCATTCTACCACTGAGCCACATCCCCAGCTCCACTGCCTCCTTTTATACAGACTTTATGATTACATTTTATAATACAA